CGCTTATTTGGAGTTTCAGTTCCTCGATCGAACCCTTGATCTGCCAGATTTCCTCTCTAGCATTTTTCCGGCTTCTCCTCAGCTCCTGGAACTTCTTGTAGATATCTAACTCTGAAAGTGCGATCTCGAGTCCGTTGTCATCATCGGTTCCATCGTCGTCAGGAGGAACCCAATTCTCGTCCGATTCTTCCTCAGATACGCGCCTTCGCTTCCTTGCTGAGTCCTTCTTATAACCCTTGAGGCGCTTGCTGGTCTCACCCACCGGAGCATACACCTTCTTACCGTCGTCTAGTTGTTCTTGAAGCTCTTCCCAGATCTCCATGTCCTTGAGCGTTCTGGATAAAGCGGCTTGGCAAGCTTGCTGCGATTCTCTAAGACTTTTGATCTTATCTTCGATTCCTTTGATGCTGGTCCTGTTTTCGGCGCCCAGTTCTTCAAGCTCTGCTGTCCCGTCTAGCTCTAGACTGTTGATAGCCTCAGTAACTGATATGTCATCTGTCTTCGAGCATATGAACGTAACACTGGAGAAGCCAGCATCGCACTTGAGTTGCCGCCTGAAGGAACCTCCGAGGAGAGTCTTCGCAGCCTTATCATCCACTGCGCGGCCGATGGGAGCCACGATCCATAATCCACCACAATGCTTCAGGTAGCCTTGAGCAACAGCAGCCCGTGCTGCGTTGGAATCGTGTACACCAGGCAAGTCCACAATGACAGCACCTGTGGACAGCGCAGGACTTTTCGTGTAAATCCTCACGACCTTGATCAGCGGCCAATATTCCATCTCTGTGTTCTTGGTCGTCTTCGTCCTACCACCGTCGTTGCCCCTGCCCTTCTTGTTGCATTTCTCCCTACTATCCACGTAATGCTGAAGCTGTTGGTAGAAACTACTTGCCTGAGCTGTTTCTATCGTTTTCGTGGTTCCTAGGATGCTCAAAACATCGGTCTTCGTCATCAGATCGGAGACCTTGTATTGATTCAGCGAGTCCCTGGGTAGCTTCGGATAGACCGATTGGAATTTGGCCCATGCGATACCAGCATCTGAGTCCGACTCGTAGATGCCACGCGAAACTGCGCCGTCTTCAGTCAGAAAGTCCTTCATCAAGACTGTGAGTTCCTCCTCCCAGTCTGCCCGATCAATAAACTCAATCTCCGCACGATACGTAGCGGATGGATCCATGCTGTCGTTCCATGATATTTCTGTCACGACAGCTGTACATGCACGCATGCAGTTAGTCGGTACGAGATTTTCCTCGTTCAGCACGGCATTGATCACACTGCTTTTGCCGGCGCCGGTGTTGCCGACCACACCGATCACCGTCCGTGTCCGCCCCGCTTGCGGTATGAGCTTCTGGATGGCTTGCTTCCATGATTGCGCGTCCACGTTCGATGCCGCATACCGCGAGAATTTCTCTTGCAATTCATTCAAGACCTCTACTGATCGGGCCACAGCTCTCCCTAAAAGTTCAGGATCCTGTTGATTGAGGATGGCCCTGAGATGCCGATCTGTCCAGACTGCACCCCCACACGTCCCCGATGATCGTTCGCGACTCCCTGTGCTAACTTGATCGGGTTGAACCAAACCAGTAGTAGGGCTTTGCAATGCTGGTTGATCCAGGAACGAACGTGGGGAACGTCGCTCGATTTTTGCACCGTCCGGGATCGCAACCGCATCGACATTTGCCTCGCGTTTTAGAAGGGTATCTCCAGGGATGCTGGACAAGTCCCTAGCAGTTGGACTAGGCGATGGACATAGCTTGTTGGCGATTGTAGATGGTAAGGTGAGTTGTGGTCGATGCACGGCGAGCCCCGCTGATCGTAGTTTAGCGGTTTTCGCATCATGCATTGGCGGTGTCATAGGAGGCACATTGCTGCGAGCTTCGAGACTCCTCGCCTGGCGAGCGGGAGTAGGAATGGCGGATACCTTGATAACTCCCAACATGGACTGTTCTGCGCACGTCGCCCAGAATAGGACAAGATCACTGCCAGGCCGCAGGTAAGACCGGACTGTATCGTTCTGATCGACGAGAGCGTCTCCGTGTTTGAGCTGGAGGCTGATTACATTGTGTGATCTCAAATATGCAGAGTTGCTAACAATCAATCCAAACTGATGAGACTGACTGACTGACTGATTGCTTGGCAGTCAGTTCAGTGTCAGTTTAGAGCTCTCGTCTTATCAGTCAGTTCAGTTTAGAGCTCTTAAACT